TAATTCTATTGGTAGTAAGAATAGGCTCCATACAAGGACTTTTCATGTGTTTATTATGGCATATAACGCCACTGATTCAGCTGATATTGGATCGAAGGGCGTATTAAATGTTACTAGCCCTTCGACATCCGCTATGGGAAGCTCAAGCCGAACAGTATCAGGTTCTGAGAATCTAAAACCGCCTCCCGTGCTTCACGGTAACCATATCTGTGAACAATTCTGCATGCTTTGTTACTGAATATTTACTATCTTTTGTGGTGAACACTACTGTAACTGAGGAATGCTTTTGTAGGTGTTCCTGATTTTGCTGAAGTTTATAGCTTCATTGGGAGTGTCTTTGATCCTGAAACCAGAGGCCATGTGGAAAAGCTCAAGGAAATGGATCCCATAAATTTCGAAACTGTGAGTCTAAGAGCTAAGAACTTTCAAGATTAACTCATGTACAAGCTTGTAGATAGTTTCGCTAAACGCAGTATGTTTTGCAGGTTGTGTTATTGATGAGAAACCTCACAGTTAACTTATCAAACCCTGATTTCGAATCCGCTGTAAGTGTTAAATTTACGATAAATGGTTTGTGATGACCAACTTTGTCAGAGTCTGTGAACTATTTTCACTCTCTAAGCCAATTAGTTAGTGGCACTTCATTCATAATTGTGATAAAATGTAGTCTAACCTTAGCTAGTCCGACTGTAACGATGCTGCAGAGGGAAATCCTCTCATCGTATGAGGCAAAGACCGAGCTCCCAAGCGTTACCACTAGTTCTCATGTCAAGAACTCAACAAGTGACAAATCATCTTAACGAAGATATCAACCATCAGTTTTCAAGTAAGTGTTCTTCTTCTCCTCATACATTTGAAATACTGTACAAGAAAGCACTTCTCTGCATTAAGGGTTGCATAGTTGATAGTTCTCACAAGTAGTCTCAGTCACAGTGACCAGGATATGATATATAAATGCTTAACCGTATTTAGAATGAGCGCACTCTATGGTTAAAATACCAGGGTAGGAATTGCTAATTTTCTTAAGTCTTGTATAAGAGTTATATGTGGTTCTCACCGTATTTGCAGGTTTACTCGTCGATTTTCCATGTTTAATAAACTTTGGGTTATATACGACACTGGGAATCACAATCTTGTCAATGCCAAGGTGGGAATTGTGTATAGGGTTGTTGAATACAGTTTGTTTGTTTTGAGGAGAAGAAACATGAGTGAAGTTTTCAAGTTTTAGGGGACGTGTGAAGATTTTGGCTAGGACTAGTTCGGTGAATGGTAGGTATAATATATACAAAATGCTTCCATTTTCTACTAGTTCTTGGTCTTCAAGCTGCGGTTGCAAGGCAGCCTCATCCGCCGGTTAACTTTTGTATAAAATTATCTTTCTATGTTCATCTCTTGGGTAAAATCTTTAGTTGGTTTTTGTCTTTCTATCGGACTATATTTTTGCTAAGCAGGTGTCCGAGGAGAAGTCCTGAGACTGATTGTTTTGGTTCAAGATCAGTTTTAAGTAAATAACGGTAATTCCATTGTTTTGAAGCTGACAAAAAAAAAGAAAATAAAAAGTTAGTGAGAAAAGAACTGTAAAACAAAGAGAAATATCAATTCCAGTTGATTAAATATGATCTATGCTACTAACAATTTTGCTTAATCAGAGTACTTGAAAGAGCATTCAAATCCGGAAAACGAATTGTTGATTAGAATCCTTTGAATCACACACCTCATGGTCATAGAACAGAGTATCTTCCGGGCTGTGGTCCTCCACGAAGCGACAAGGCTTGATTGGTAATGATGTCTGTAAGAAAACGCTTGAGTTCAGCTTTTGCTGCCTTGACAGATGTTTCGGTAGGTCCTTCAATGAACAAGTAGAGCTTGCGTTCCCCAGGTAAAGGGATACGTCCTTGCGTATAAAACTGACCTCTAGTGGTGATCGCGGCTCCAGCCCACTCTGATATTTGACCCAAAGTTTCTCTCTGAGTCACCTTCCAACGAGCATTCTGCGGGAGATCATTGATTTCCAGTTCAGCTTCATAGTGTTCAGGCATTGCTTCAGCTTGAATCTTTGCAAGTTTGTGTTGTAGGATATCACCACCGACCTTTCTTACTACATCATTCTCATCTTCCGAGTCAGACTTGTCTTCTTCCTCAAAGCCGTACTCTTTCGCTTGTGCTCTCTTCGCTGCTTTCTTAACTTCATCCTCTTCTTCGTTGAATTTAAACCCACAACCACCATAGCCAGTTCCATGGGCTTTCTCAATACCTTGTTTCACTTTCGCTTTGAAACCATCAGCAATTGCTTTCAGATCATCAGGAACTGGCTGCTCAGAAAGCTCCAGGGCCGTGACTAAATCTGGTGCATATTTCGCATCATCCTCGGAGATAAATGTCACAGCACAGCCTTTCCTCCCCGCTCTGCCTGTCCTGCCAACGCGATGCACATAGTCTTCATAATGGTTCGGTGCCTCAAAGTTTACGACCAACTCAAGCTCTTTCACATCTAGACCTCTAGCTGCAACACTTGTGGCAATCAACAAATTGCAGACACTGCTCTTAAACTCTGATATAGCTGATTCTCGATAAATCTGATCCTTACCTCCGTGAAGAGATTGACAACGGTAACCTTCTATATTCAAATCATTGCACAAAGCATCACATTTTTCCTGCGATTGAACAAAGACCAAGATTTTTCCTTTCTCATACCATTCCTCAACAAGTTCCACAAGCCTAGAGTACCTCTCACTCTCCAGTCTGATTTCAACTAACTGAGTTATATCTTTATTCACAACACTCCTTCCACCAGCCTGCATTTCTACAGGCTTGTTCAAGACTTTACGTGCTAAAGTTTCAATCTGGCGTGGAAAAGTGGCAGAAAAGAGCACAGTTTGGCGGTCAGGTCGAATATTTTGAATAACACGAGTAATTTGAGGCTCAAAACCCATGTCAAACATACGATCAGCTTCATCCATTACCAGAAATGTGACCCTTTGAAGATTGGTGATTTTCCCACTGTTTGTGCAGAGAATATCAATCATTCTGCCAGGAGTGCACACGATAATCTCGGTACCTCGCTTAAGATCACTGATTTGCTGGGCAACTCCTGATCCTCCATACACAGGGACAGATCTTATACCCAATGCCTTGGCAAACTTTTTGATATCGCTGTTAATCTGTTGAACAAGCTCTCTCGTAGGTGCCATTACAAGCCCAATTGGTCCCTCACCAGCTTCAACGGGAGGCTGATCTTTGATATGCCTCAGCATAGGCAAAACAAATCCAAGGGTTTTACCCGACCCTGTTTTTGCAACTCCAATGCAGTCTCTACCACTCATGATGATTGGGAGTGCTTGTGCTTGGATAGGCATTGGCTTCTCATAGTTAAGCTTCTTCATTGTATCCAATATTCTGTTGGTCAGACCAGTCTGGTGCCAAGATTTTACAGGTCTTGGTACGTCCTTTCCATGAAATTTCAACTCCAATTCCTTTCGGTAAGCGTTAACTTCTTCCTCTGTCATCCTTGAGATATCCTTCACTTGGATATAGAAGTTTTTGCGGAAAGGTTCGTACTCTATTTTTGAATGGTCAATAAGAGACAACTTCTCTGCTTTTGTCTTCTTTACTCTCTTCATGAACTCCTCATCGTCTTCTTCCAAACTTGGATCATCATCTTTGTTTGGTTCTGAATAATCAGAGTCAGAATCTTCACCTTGAATAATCCTACCAAGAGCCTTATTAAAACCTTTCTTTGGCTGGTCACCACTTTTCTTAGAATCCAAAATACCATCGTTCATTCCTAGAGGAGGAGAAGAAGAATTGCTAAGCTTCTCAACCTCAGGTAATACCATACTATTCATAAAAGCATCTAAAGGATCAATTACCTCATCATCTTCATCTCCATCACCTCCACTCTCGGAGTCAGTCATCTTCCTTTCAGTTTCAGCTTCCTGTTTTCTCCTCTTCAATTCTTGCCACTCATGGAGTCTTCTCCTCCGTTTATCCTCTTCCCGGGTTATATTCTCCTTCTTTTCACCATTGTCATCTTCTCCAAGCTCTTTTCTTCTACGTTTCAAGTCATCATCATCACTCTCTTTCGCACGTTCTCGGTGTCTTCTTTCCTTCTCCTTGGCTCTGCGTCTATCCCTCTCCTCCTCCTCATCTTCTCCAGATACGCTTCTCTTATTCCTCTCCCTATCACTCCGTCTCCGATCTTCAGAATCACTTCTCGTAACTCTCTCAGACCGTCTCTTTCGCCTGTCCTTCTCCGGACCTCTCTCTTCCTTACCACGACCACGATCACGATGTCCGCGATTCTTTGTCAAAACATCCTCCATGTCCAATTCTTCTTTCCTAGACTTAGATTTCTCTTCCTATATCCAAAATCCAAATCACGCAGATTCAATGAAAATTTGCTCTCGATGTGTTTATATGTGATGTTGCAGAAAATCAATCAAAACGATATATATGGTCGGTGAAGAAGAGTTAGATTGGGCTTTTAGGTTGGGGCCTGGAAGAAAAAATGTTTATTAGATTGGGCTTTAAAAGGCCCATTAAATGAGGTTTCGGGAGTAACCCTAAATGAAACCCTAGCATATATGTGTTCTTAAACTCAGACTGCGCAAACCCTAGAGTCTCCAATACTC